ACTTTACTCTCACGGTGCCTCTCTCCACCCAGGTGTATAAATGGGTACATGTACCGGCGAATTTAATACTAGGGGAAACCCTGTGATAGACCTAGCATCCCATCCAGGGAGGAGAAGAAATACTTCTAGTCGCTTCGTGCTGCAGAAGTGGGGATAAGCTCCGGCCTGATGGGCCACTTGGCTCGTATGCAGACGTTACTTTTACCAAGTGATGGTTTTCATCTTAAAAGTGTAAAGCTCAATTCTACACAAAGTGCTCAGAAATTCTTACAACGGTAAGGCTCAGGATGTCGTCCAGTGCTTCAAAAAGCAATATTTTTGCGCTAGTGCCTATCTTTCTGCCTCCTTCAAAATAATATCTGAGCAGCCGTATATTGCCAAAAACGAGAGTTTAGGTCGCATGGAAACAAGAGAAATAGCAAGTAATAACATAGGCACGTAAGGCGTGCAAAGAGCTGGAGAGGCTGGATAAAAACAGAGATCGTAGGCATGCAATGCGTACACAGAATGTTAGTTAGACTATAGATGCTAGGAAATAATGCTTTTGCTCGCACTACGATTAACTTATACTTTTCTAACAATTTTTCAACACAGGGCGCTGCTCGCTCCCACTCGGTCTCGAGGACAAACGTATCACAAACGGCCATTTCTCGGCATCTACGTATTACAATCACCACTTGGCACCATGGCATGGTCGGTTGAACCACCGCTGGTCATGGAGCGCTAGAACCAGAAATCACAATCAGTGGCTCCAAGTGAGCTTTGTGAGCGTTGTGAAGGCGACAGGAATTGGTACCCAAGGCAGGCAGGATGCTAATCAATGGGTGACGAAGTATATTGTATCTTACAGTGCGGACACGACCAACTTCCGGTACTACTCTGAAGGAAGAGGAACCAAGGTAAGTGTAACCAAAGGCATTAGTTTAAAGGAGCTCAGCATGGTATTTTGAGTGATTTTGGCCACTTAAAAAATTACCTTTAAAAGAAGGAAACCTAAAAGGAATAGTTTACTCAGATAGGAAAACACCAAAGAGATAATAATAAACCATTAAGGAATAAGGATGGTGAAGGATGGAGAAGATTAGCACGGATTACAAACGACGAACTTGAAAAATTTAGGCTGAACTTTTCAAGAGCGCAAACCCTGACGCAGTTTATGCATGAAAACTGAAATAAAGACAGGTATCACTACATCTAAAAAGTTTAAAAAATCAAGGTAGGCCGCGTGACCATGTGAGTTAGGGGGCTGGATTTACTGTATCAAACACGAAAGACCATGTTTGACCACATTTTCAAACACCTCGAAGTTCGTCAAAAACACTCTGCTACAAGTCGTATTTTTAACTCTCTTCTCGGTGTTTGGTAATGTGGTCAAACACGGTCTTTCGTGTTTGATTTATCTTCTCAATGGAAACTAAAACTATGGAGAAAATAGAGAGTTAAGTCTATGCTAATTAAGGTCAGATATCCAAACACCATCACGGTCATGATTTCGTTTTATTAAACGTGATCAATGAGTGTGATTAATGAGTGTGAGAAATGAAATTCGTGGTCAAATCTTCCACCATACTGGTAACTGGATTTGTTCTTGACAGTCTGAAGTTGGACTCGTCGACTTTCTCCAGAGCATAGTGGTGCTTTATACGCTGACAATTGCATTAAACCTCTTACCAACCTCAATCCCAGGCTCTCTCTTCCTTGTCTCCCTAGCCGTTGAGGAGAGAGAAAAGGGGGATCGAGTTTGGGATCTTACTTTCATTTTATCCTATATATTTGTAATTTTATCCAAGAAACAGAGAATTCAAGTAAAATTATTTGTCTTATATAGCTTTACGAGTCGAGTTATAATCTTGAGGATCTCTATCAATATAGTTTCAATTGTGCTTCTGGTAATTCACTATTGATTAAAATTTTGTGCAGAATATCTAATTTGTTTTACAATGCAATATTTTTCACTCTCAATCAGGTTTTCACTGGAAACAGCAACAGACATACGATCGTGTACCACGATTTTGTAAAACCTTTTAGCGCTGTGTACGTTCGCATCTATCCGAAGGGTTGGTACAGCTGGATATCTCTGAGGGCAGAAATCTATGGTTGCTATGGTATGTTTCAGTTTTTCTTCTGCAGATCTTTGTAATGACCGTTTTTTTTTTTTCGCCTAGACGAACAGTCAATATTTTGGTGAGTGTATCAGGGTGATTCATTATGTGAGTAGCGTGACCGCGTAAGTAGCGTGACCTAACCATTTTGTAGTGTGAGTAGCGTGACTTAACAATTTCATATTGTAAGTAGTTTGACTTGACCGCCCTATAGTGTGAAAAGCGTGACTAAACAATTTTATTGTGTGGGAAGCGTGAGTAAACAAAAATATAGATAGATATATGATGAACGTGATTTTATCGTTTTGTAGCGTGCGTTAGCGTGACCTGACCATTTTAACGGGAGAGCAGAGATCTTCTCCTGCAAAAGATAGAATAAACAAATTCATGCATTTCCCATGTCCTCGTTTCAGTCTCCGTGTGTAGTAATCCATTGGTTAAAAGACTCAGTAATTCCAAGATTACCGCATCATCTGAGTACAACGGACATCACGCGGCTTGGCTGGGAAGACTGGGCCGAGTACGGCGTGGACCTTACGTGGGAGCCTGGTGCGCAAGACACAACAATCACAACCAGTGGATCAAGTTTGATTTCTCTCGACCAATGCGTATCACCAAAGTGGACACACAAGGAAGGCATGACGCTGACCAGTGGGTAACGCGCTATCTGCTGTCTTCCAGCTTGGATGGAATTCACTGGCAGATCTACAGGTTTAACAGCCAGGATAAGGTATGTGAGAAAATATCATTCCCTACTTTACAATTCCTCATAANCCACAAAAAAAAAATATTGTTGTGAAATGCTTTTGGGAATATGCAGAGCTCCCAAGAGCATTTACAAATAATGGTTTATGGAAAATTTGGGGGCAAACAGAGTGAATTATAGGGAATTGGAAAGACAATAGGGTCATTCGCAGGCTTATGCCTATAATATTTTCTAAAGAAACTTTTATTGGGCTGCGACGGCCGACAGGTGAAACACTTGCCTTCTGATAAAGGAAAATTAACCGCCGTAACGAGTTTGTGAAGCTGACCTTTGGAGCGTTAGTTAGCCTTTTGCTGGAGCTGATGCCAACTGTTAATCACTCACCTATCATTGCAGTACTTTCAAGGAAACCGTGACCGTAACAGTGTTGTCACGCAAGCCATCAATCCACCCATTTTGGCGCGATTTGTTCGCTTGCACCCGAAGGGATGGAGAAGTCACATCTCTATGAGGGTCGAGTTTTATGGATGTCGAGCAGGTAAGATCAAAATTTTAGGTCCAATTGAGATTCAAAACCTCTTTACCTAAACAACAATTTCGCAAAAACACGACAATTAAAATTTATCTTAATTCCACCTTTAATACAAAAATAACAAAGCTAACAAAAGTAAAGAATGCTTAAGATGCTTTGACCTCTTCTAATACTAAACTCGAAAATTCTGGATTTAAATTTGACAGGACCAACATATTTTGTTCAAAATAACACAAATATTTTCCTACCTGGTGAAACTCGACGAACTACGAGCGAGGTGCCGGACGCGGGGAAACTCATTCTTGCCGCCAAATTAAAAGCTTGGAGACAGAAAATGTTTCATCACTTTTTACGATCTGATATGGGTTTTGGAATTACAAACCCCTTTTTGTGAATATCCAGTGCCGTCTCCAGTGAGAAAAGTTGCTCTACGGCAGTGCCTTTCCTGTTAACATACATTGACGCCAGGACAGCACAGTTTGCTTAATCTTTCCTTACTGGTACCGTACAGGATTGCTACCGATTGGTTAGCTAATCTAACTCATGACATTATTCAATGATTCACTGAACAGATCCGTGCGATGTTCCTTTGGGAATGCAAGACGGCCGGGTTACTAAGGGAATGCTGACTGCCTCCTCCATGTACAACCACCTTTATGGTCCGTGGAGTGCCAGGCTGCAGGCACGGAACCATGGCTCAACTCGAGGGGGCTGGATTGCAAAGTACCGCAACGCACATCAGTTTCTGCAGATTGACTTAGGAATTGCGACAAGGGTGAAAAGAATCGCTACACAGGGTCGGTATGATGCCAATCAATGGGTCAAGTCCTACACGGTTTCTTATAGCAATAATGGAGTGAGGTTCTTTCCGGTTAAACACGGAAGAAGAGTCAAGGTAACGTTACAGAAAACTTTTACAAATCGCGAAAAAGACTAACTTACTTTCTGGAGGGCTATTTTCCAGAGAGCTCAGTACAGGTGGTCACCAAGGGGTCGAGGAAAATTAAGGATTATAATCACATTTTAATTTTTTTTACAAAATTTGGTTACGGAATCCTTCGGAGGTTTTCGGGTTATCTTCGGTAGGCTTCGGCAGGCTTCTCTGGAATCTTGGAAGTAATTTTGTTCTCAACAAAAATTATGGAAAAATGTCCTATAGCTTAGCCTATCAAAATTAAGTAATTTTAATCTCCTTATTATACAAGAAATTATTTCAGGAAAACTGGTTTTGAATAGCATTGATGCAGACAGAACTGAAAACGAAATTTTTCTATAGTTCAAAGAGACTCAAGAACCTTTAATCATGATGGCTAAGTACCGCCTGGTGGACAACAGAATAGAGTGCAATAATAAAAACCATTTACTACTATGGTAATTCTTAAGCCATACTTTGTACCAGTAGCAGGTGATTTCTGT